TGGGACACGTCTTCGGGCGGGGCTCGTCTTCGGCGGTCACAACGGGCGGGACACGTCTTCGGCGGTCACAAGGGGCGGGACACGTCTTCGGCGATCATAACAAGCGGGACTCGTCTTCGGCGGTCACAACGGGCGGGACTCGTCTTCGGCGGTCACAACGGGCGGGACTCGTCTTCGGCGGTCACAACGGGCGGGACACGTCTTCGGCGATCATACCAAGCGGGACACGTCTTCGGCGGTCACAACGGGCGGGACTCGTCTTCGGCGGTCACAACGGGCGGGACTCGTCTTCGGCGGTCACAATGGGCGGGACACGTCTTCGGCGATCATAACAAGCGGGACTCGTCTTCGGCGGTCACAACGGGCGGGACTCGTCTTCGGCGGTCACAACGGGCGGGACTCGTCTTCGGCGGTCACAACGGGCGGGACACGTCTTCGGCGGTCACAACGGGCGGGACTCGTCTTCGGCGGTCACAACGGGCGGGACTCGTCTTCGGCGGTCACAACGGGCGGGACGCGTCTTCGGCGGTCACAACGGGCGGGACGCGTCTTCGGCGGTCACAACGGGCGGGACGCGTCTTCGGCGGTCACAACGGGCGGGACGCGTCTTCGGCGGTCATAACGGGCGGGACGCGTCTTCGGCGGTCATAACGGGCGGGACGCGTCTTCGGCGGTCATAACGGGCGGGACTCGTCTTCGGCGGTCATAACGGGCGGGACTCGTCTTCGGCGGTCACAACGGGCGGGACACGTCTTCGGCGATCATAACAAGCGGGACTCGTCTTCGGCGGTCACAACGGGCGGGACTCGTCTTCGGCGGTCACAACGGGCGGGACTCGTCTTCGGCGGTCACAACGGGCGGGACACGTCTTCGGCGATCATACCAAGCGGGACACGTCTTCGGCGGTCACAACGGGCGGGACTCGTCTTCGGCGGTCACAACGGGCGGGACTCGTCTTCGGCGGTCACAATGGGCGGGACACGTCTTCGGCGATCATAACAAGCGGGACTCGTCTTCGGCGGTCACAACGGGCGGGACTCGTCTTCGGCGGTCACAACGGGCGGGACTCGTCTTCGGCGGTCACAACGGGCGGGACACGTCTTCGGCGGTCACAAAACGGGCGGGACTCGTCTTCGGCGGTCACAACGGGCGGGACTCGTCTTCGGCGGTCACAACGGGCGGGACGCGTCTTCGGCGGTCACAACGGGCGGGACGCGTCTTCGGCGGTCACAACGGGCGGGACGCGTCTTCGGCGGTCACAACGGGCGGGACGCGTCTTCGGCGGTCATAACGGGCGGGACGCGTCTTCGGCGGTCATAACGGGCGGGACGCGTCTTCGGCGGTCATAACGGGCGGGACTCGTCTTCGGCGGTCATAACGGGCGAGACTCGTCTTCGGCGGTCACAACGGGCGGGACTCGTCTTCGGCGGTCACAACGGGCGGGACTCGTCTTCGGCGGTCACAACGGGCGGGACTCGTCTTCGGCGGTCACAACGGGTGGGACACGTCTTCGGGCGGGACTCGTCTTCGGCGGTCACAACGGGCGGGACACATCTTCGGCGGTCACAAGGGGCGGGACACGTCTTCGGCGATCATAACAAGCGGGACTCGTCTTCGGGGTCACAACGGGCGGGACTCGTCTTCGGCGGTCACAACGGGCGGGACACGTCTTCGGCGGTCACAACGGGCGGGACTCGTCTTCGGCGGTCACAAGGGCGGGACTCGTCTTCGGCGGTCACAACGGGCGGGACACGTCTTCGGCGATCATAACAAGCGGGACACGTCTTCGGCGGTCACAACGGGCGGGACTCGTCTTCGGCGGTCACAACGGGCGGGACTCGTCTTCGGCGGTCACAATGGGCGGGACACGTCTTCGGCGATCATAACAAGCGGGACTCATCTTCGGCGGTCATAACGGGCGGGACGCGTCTTCGGCGGTCATAACGGGCGGGACGCGTCTTCGGCGGTCACAACGGGCGGGACTCGTCTTCGGCGGTCACAACGGGCGGGACACGTCTTCGGCGGTCACAACGGGCGGGACGCGTCTTCGGCGGTCACAACGGGCGGGACGCGTCTTCGGCGGTCACAACGGGCGGGACGCGTCTTCGGCGGTCATAACGGGCGGGACGCGTCTTCGGCGGTCATAACGGGCGGGACGCGTCTTCGGCGGTCATAACGGGCGGGACTCGTCTTCGGCGGTCATAACGGGCGACACTCGTCTTCGGCGGTCACAACGGGCGGGACTCGTCTTCGGCGGTCACAACGGGCGGGACTCGTCTTCGGCGGTCACAACGGGCGGGACTCGTCTTCGGCGGTCACAACGGGTGGGACACGTCTTCGGGCGGGACTCGTCTTCGGCGGTCACAACGGGCGGGACACATCTTCGGCGGTCACAATGGGCGGGACACGTCTTCGGCGATCATAACAAGCGGGACTCGTCTTCGGCGGTCACAACGGGCGGGACTCGTCTTCGGCGGTCACAACGGGCGGGACACGTCTTCGGCGGTCACAACGGGCGGGACTCGTCTTCGGCGGTCACAATGGGCGGGACTCGTCTTCGGCGGTCACAACGGGCGGGACACGTCTTCGGCGATCATAACAAGTGGGACACGTCTTCGGCGGTCACAACGGGCGGGACTCGTCTTCGGCGGTCACAACGGGCGGGACTCGTCTTCGGCGGTCACAAGGGGCGGGACACGTCTTCGGCGATCATAACAAGCGGGACTCGTCTTCGGCGGTCATAACGGGCGGGACGCGTCTTCGGCGGTCATAACGGGCGGGACGCGTCTTCCGCGGTCATAACGGGCGGGACGCGTTTTCGGCGGTCATAACGGGCGGGACGCGTCTTCGGCGGTCATAACGGGCGGGACGCGTCTTCGGCGGTCATAACGGGCGGGACTCGTCTTCGGCGGTTATAACGGGCGAGACTCGTCTTCGGCGGTCACAACGGGCGGGACTCGTCTTCGGCGGTCACAACGGGCGGGACTCGTCTTCGGCGGTCACAACGGGTGGGACACGTCTTCGGGCGGGACTCGTCTTCGGCGGTCACAACGGGCGGGACACGTCTTCGGCGGTCACAATGGGCGGGACACGTCTTCGGCGATCATAACAAGCGGGACTCATCTTCGGCGGTCACAACGGGCGGGACTCGTCTTCGGCGGTCATAATGGGCGGACACGTCTTCGGCGGTCACAACGGGCGGGACACGTCTTCGGCGGTCACAACGGGCGGGACACGTCTTCGGCGGTCACAACGGGCGGGACACGTCTTCGGCGGTCACAACGGGCGGGACACGTCTTTGGCAGTCACAACGAGCGGGACACGTCTTCGGCAGGCACAACGGGCGGGACTCGTCTGTAACAGCGTATACCCAGAGATGGACGCGGTTCAACACTTTTGGTTTCAACCTCCATCTTGGCAAAGGGGTTAACTGTCCTGACAAATATATTTCTCCCTTATTCTTCCCCCCCCCCCCCCTGTGAGAGGCACAGTGACATATGGCAGTATATATGTGTGTTAGAAGTGTCACAGGCCAGATCCCAGCAGGGAGCCACGAGGTGCCTCACTGTTCCAAGAAGCTGTGCCATTTCACACCTCAGAAGAGATAAGACAAGCTTTCTCAGGAGTTGAGGGAGATTCCAACCTAATAAAACCTAACTCCCAGTAGGTGACAGAATCAGATAACCTCTGTTAAAACCATTTTTCCCCTTTGTCTCATATCTTGGAATATGAGAGACTTACATAAAAACCGGACATATCATCAGATGGGCTAAGAGGAGCCGAACATTTTGGTGGGTCACTCGCCTTGTCTCGGACACACAGGAAAGCAGAAAAATAGATCTCGCGAACCGTTCAGTGTACACTTTCATAATTCATGTCTAATCAATCCTCAGACTTGTCTGCATAATAATCTACCCGCGGGTGGAATGTCACTTGTGCAGATGAAAAGTTATAGGCCAAATATGAGTTATGGGAGATTTTTGCTCTAGTTGAGGCATCCACCCATCTCTCCACACCCTAAGCGGAGATTGGTCCTTGACTGCAAAGCCACCCCCTGCTGGGGACCACAAAACAGGCTGTCAGGCCTAAGAGTAGGAAGTTGAAGATGTCTCCCATTTTAACATCAGTACCACCTGGGGAGACCTGTGCCCTTTCGCTCTGAAACTTGGATCTGCTAACCCAGGACTTTGGCAAGTAACTTAACCCTTTCACCTCTCTCTGATATCTCTTTGCTGTGCTGTTGGTCTCTGTATGTTTAAAAATGTTATCTGGTTATCGGGGGAGGGGGGAGGGGATGTATTCGGTGCGTACTTACCGCATGTTTTACAGAATAATTCATGATGATGTAATCTTTCCCCATTGGCAGCCAGGAGCGCAGAGTGATGACATCACGGTTCTTCAGCGGCTTCGGACATTTCCCTGCAGAAAAGAGACGGGGGGGGGGGGGGGTCATATCGGTGTGCAAATAAACTCATGATATGAAATCACAATGCTGGTCCAAGGACCTCCGGCCCCTCCCCTTCAGTCTAGCACAGTTGTACTGGCCCCTCCCCTTTATTCTTGAACAGTTTTACTGGCCCCTCCCCTTTATTCTTGAACAGGTGTACTGACCCCTCCCTTTTATTCTTGAACAGGTGTGCCAGGTCCTTCCCTTCATTCTTGCACAGGTGTACCGGCTCCTCCCCTTCAGTCTTGCACAGGTGTACTGGCTCCTCCTCTTCAGTCTTGCACAGTTGTATTGGCCCCTCCCCTTCAGTCTTGTACAGGTTTACCGGCTTCTCCCCTTCATTCTTGCAGTTGTTCTGGCTCCTCCCCTTCAGTCTTGTACAGTTGTATTGGTCCCTCCCCTTCAGTCTTGCACAGGTTTACCAGCTTCTCCCCTTCAATCTTGCACAGGTGTACTGGCTCCTCCCCTTTATTCTTGCACAGGTGTACCAGCTCCTCCCCTATAGTCTTGCACAGGTGTACCTGCTCCTCCCCTTCAGTCTTGCACAGGTGTACCGGCTCCTCCCCTTCGGTCTTGCACAGGTGTACCGGCTCCTCCCCTTCAGTCTTGCACAAGTGTACCGGCTCCTCCCCTTCAGTCTTGCACAGGTGTACCAGCTCCTCCCCTTCAGTCTTGCACAGGTGTACCAGCTCCTCCCCTTCAGTCTTGCACAGGTGTAGCGGCGCCTCCCCTTCAGTCTTGCACAGGTGTACCTGCTCCTCCCCTTCAGTCTTGCACAGGTGTACCAGCTCCTCCCCTTCAGTCTTGCACAGGTGTACCTGCTCCTCCCCTTCAGTCTTGCACAGGTGTACCTGCTCCTCCCCTTCAGTCTTGCACAGGTGTACCGGCTCCTCCCCTTCAGTCTTGCACAGGTGTACCGGCTCCTCCCCTTCAGTCTTGCACAAGTGTACCGGCTCCTCCCCTTCAGTCTTGCACAGGTGTACCAGCTCCTCCCCTTCAGTCTTGCACAGGTGTACCAGCTCCTCCCCTTCAGTCTTGCACAGGTGTACCTGCTCCTCCCCTTCAGTCTTGCGCAGGTGTACCGGCTCCTCCCCTTCAGTCTTGCACAGGTGTACCGGCTCCTCCCCTTCAGTCTTGCACAGGTGTAGCGGCTCCTCCCCTTCAGTCTTGCACAGGTGTAGCGGCTCCTCTGCTGGACTGAAACGGCTTCCTCTGATTTCACTGTACAATGGGAGCTTCTCACATTAGAAGCTGCAGCAAGTCAGACAGAACTCCGCCTCCTTTCCCGGTTGGAGCATCATCAAGCACTTTCCTCCCCAACCTGACTGTCCCTGGCCCCACCCTTTTTATTCATTGGATTTCAGTTCTTTCAATCATGGAGGCTTACCATCCCCCATGTGGGCGTTATCATGCAAATTCAGCCCTGCCTAGGAACACCCACGCCGACATCCACTTATCACGGTATGTACATATTTGCATAACTCCTCCCACTGCTTGCATCAGGGCTGAGAACTCTTGAGAGGAGCATTAAAGGCAGAGTGCTGTGATATTTTCAGGAAACTACGGACATCACCCTGGCGTCCCCTCCCACTAGCCATGATCTGTCCGCAATTCATAGAGAAGCAGGGAGTCCCAGTGATGACATCAGTATATAATGAAAATGGAAAGGTTCCATTTTAAAATTGAGGGGGGAGGGGGCCAGGCAAGGGAAAACCTAAGAAAATCGAACTTCAGATTATAAATATATAATTTATTTATTTTATTTTTTTGGGGGGGGGGGTGATTGCCCGGCAGCAGGAAGGCTTCACTGACAACAACCTCCTCGATCCCCTACAGTCCGGCTTCCGTCCCCTACACTCCACCGAAACTGCCCTACTCAAACTCTCCAACGACCTGCTAACCGCCAAAGCTAATGGCCACTATTCAGTCCTCCTACTCCTCGACCTCTCCGCGGCCTTCCACACAGTCGACCACCCCCTCCTCCTCAATAAATTACACTCCCTCGGCCTCAGAGACTCCGCTCTCTCCTGGCTCTCATCCTACCTATCCCAACACTCCTTCAGCGTTACCTATAACACCACCACCCTCACCCTCTCTGTTGGGGTCCCCCAAGGCTCTGTCCTCGGGGCCCCTTCTCTTCTCCATCTACACCTCCTCCCTCGGCAAATTGATACACTCCCACAGCTTTAAATATCACCTCTACGCCGATGACACGCAAATTTACCTCTCCACCCCCCACCTCACCCCTTCAGTCTCCGCCCGCATCACCCACCTACTGAACGACATATCAGACTGGATGTCACTCCACTTCCTCAAATTGAACCTTTCCAAAACTGAGCTCCTAATTTTCCCCCCAGCCTGTGCCCCCCCCCATCCTCTCCATCACGACCAACAACGCCACCATCAGTCCCACCCCGCAAGCCAAAGTCCTAGGTGTCACTCTAGACTCAAACCTGTCCTTCCAACCCCATTTCCAATCGCTGGCAAACTCATGCAGGCTCCACCTCCGCAACATCTCCAAAATACGTTCGTTCCTCACCCCAGACACTACTAAACTACTCGTACACTCCCTCATTACATCACGGCTGGACTACTGCAACTCCCTCCTCACCGGCCTACCCCAATGCAGGCTATCCCCGCTCCAGTCTATCCTGAACTCAGCGGCCAGACTCATCCTCCTCACCAACCGCTCCACATCCTCCACCCCCCTCTGCCAATCCCTCCACTGGCTTCCACCCCCCTCTGTCATTCCCTCCACTGGCTTCCACCCCCCTCTGTCCCTTCCCTCCACTGGCTTCCACCCCCCTCTGTCATTCCCTCCACTGGCCTCCACCCCCCTCCGTCATTCCCTCCACTGGCCTCCACCCCCCTCTGTCATTCCCTCCACTGGCCTCCACCCCCCTCTCTCATTCCCTCCACTGGCTCCACCCCCCTCTGTCATTCCCTCCACTAGCTTCCACCCCCCTCTGTCATTCCCTCCACTGGCTTCCACCCCCCTCTGTCATTCCCTCCACTGGCCTCTCCCCCCCTCTCTCATTCCCTCCACTGGCTCCACCCCCCTCTGTCATTCCCCCCACTAGCTTCCACCCCCCTCTGTCATTCCCTCCACTGGCTTCCACCCCCCTCTGTCATTCCCTCCACTGGCTTCCACCCCCCTCTGTCATTCCCTCCACTGGCTTCCACCCCCCTCTGTCATTCCCTCCACTGGCTCCACCCCCCTCTGTCATTCCCTCCACTGGCTCCCCATTGCCCAACGCATTAAATTCAAACTACTAACACTGACATACAAAGCCATTCACAACGCTGCCCCAAACTACCTCACTGACCTGATACCCAAATACCACCCAATCCGTACTCTCCGCTCCTCACAAGACCTCCTACATTCTAGCTCCCTGGTCTCCTCCTCCCACGCCCAACTGCAGGACTTCTCCAGGACTTCCCCCATCCTCTGGAACTCCCTACCCCAATCCAACAGACTGTCACCTACCCTCCTCACCTTTAGGCGCACCCTGAAAACCCATCTCTTCAGGGAAGCCTACCCCGCCCTCACCTAACAGCTGATCTCCTCTACTCCTCCTACCACTCCATCCCCCACAGCCACTTCCTCCTGCACCACCATCCCCTCCCTCCTAGATTGTAAGCTCCAAGGATCAGGGCCCTCGACCCCCTCGTGTATTGTATTGTTTCTGTCTTGTCTCATGTTCTGTCCCCACTATAATGTACAGCGCTGAGCAAACCTTCTGCCGCCATATAAATCCTGTATAATAATAATATCATCGGCACAAAGCTTACATGCGTAGTATCCAATGTCGGCGTTGACGGTCAGCTTCCCGATGTCGAAGGTCTCGATGACGTTGGTGTCCCACTTCTTGCGATATTCCACGTCATGAAGGACGTCATAGAGGACCTCCGCCGACACGTCTTTACATTCCATCCGACACTGCAGAGATCAGAGAAGGGAGGCGGGTGGTGAGTCTACCGGCACCGGCTGGACACACAGCTCAACAGAAAGGGTTCGAATGAATGGCTAGCCAAAACCTTTGACAGGGGGCCTGACCCCTCTACTCCACCCAAAAAAAAACCAAATCTACAAATCTTATCACACGATAAGACATTTCAGAATTTAAATTCTTAAAAAAATAAATAAAACAGAATTAAAAAGAAATGGAAATGGAAAACACAGCTGCTACAGCAATCAGCTTCAATCCAGAGATTTCCCTCGCAGTACATTTTTATACCACTAGATGTCCACAGTCTGATGGCTGGTGTCATTCAGCCAACCTTCTCTGAGCCCAGGTTGTCCTGGACCTGCCCCCCCCCCCCTCCTCCAGCCTGTGACTGGACAGTGGAAGGAGAAAACAGCTCATCTCTCTGTCACTCTGCTCTCCGCCTATCAGCATTGTTAGAACATGAACTGGTGGGCTTTATGTGCTGCTTCTTCAGCCCTGCTGCACAGGACCCACAAGGGGCTGAGACCAGGATACTTGGCCCGCCTTTGTACCCGATTCACATCAAGGTCCATATACACATAGGCTATGTCTCTGTTGGAAATCACGGGCCCCTTACAACCTACCTTACAGGGCCCCCCCTCCCCCCCCACTGTTCCTCCAGTCGTTCTCTTTAAGACGTCCCAGCCCCAGCTAGTAAATGGTCAGCGGCTGTCAATCAACCAGAAGGTGTCATTGCCTGCAGCGGGTTGGATGAAAACTCGGGGTGACCCCACACACACAGAGAGCGGAAGCATCGCTGCGGGCCATCATAGTGCCCAGACCTTGTGCTGGAGTGGTCTGCATTGAAAAAGTGCCGCAGGTCTGGTTCTTGGTTATTGAAACTTTTTGTGGGGCCCCTGTGGGCAGTAATCTGTGTTTCCTTTATCTCCTGTAGTATGTCCGCAGTCTCTGGTCATCTCCTGTAGTATGTCCGCAGTCTCTGGTCATCTCCTGTACCATGTCCGCAGTCTCTGACCATCTCCCTGTACTGTGTCTGCAGTCTCTGACCATCTCCTGTACTATGTCCGCAGTCTCTGACTATCTCCTGTACCATGTCTGCAGTCTCTGACCATCTCCTGTACTATGTCCGCAGTCTCTGACCATCTCCTGTACTATGTCCGCAGTCTCTGACCATCTCCTGTACCATGTCTGCAGTCTCTGGTCATCTCCTGTACTATGTCTTCCGCAGTCTCTGGTCATCTCCTGTACCATGTCTGCAGTCTCTGACCATCTCCTGTACTATGTCCGCAGTCTCTGGTCATCTCCTGTACTATGTCCGCAGTCTCTGACCATCTCCTGTACTATGTCCGCAGTCTCTGACCATCTCCTGTACTATGTCCGCAGTCTCTGACATCTCCTGTACTATGTCCGCAGTCTCTGGTCATCTCCTGTACTGTCCGCAGTCTCTGACATCTCCTGTACTATGTCCGCAGTCTCTGACCATCTCCTGTACTATGTCCGCAGTCTCTGACCATCTCCTGTACTATGTCCGCAGTCTCTGGTCATCTCTCCTGTACTGTCCGCAGTCTCTGACCATCTCCTGTACTATGTCCGCAGTCTCTGACCATCTCCTGTACTATGTCCGCAGTCTCTGACCATCTCCTGTACTATGTCCGCAGTCTCTGGTCATCTCCTGTACTGTCCGCAGTCTCTGACCATCTCCTGTACTATGTCCGCAGTCTCTGACCATCTCCTGTACTATGTCTGCAGTCTCTGGTCATCTCCTGTAGTATGTCCGCAGTCTCTGACCATCTCCTGTACTGTGTCCGCAGTCTCTGACCGTCTCCCTGTACTGTGTCTGCAGTCTCTGACCGTCTCCCTGTACTATGTCTGCAGTCTCCGGTCATCTCCTGTACTGTGTCCGCAGTCTCTGGTCATCTCCTGTACTATGTCTGCAGTCTCTGACCATCTCCTGTACTATGTCTGCAGTCTCTGACCATCTAATGTACTATGTCTGCAGTCTCTGACCATCTCCTGTACTGTGTCCGCAGTCTCTGGTCATCTCCTGTACTGTGTCCGCAGTCTCTGGTCATCTCCTGTACTGTGTCCGCAGTCTCTGGTCATCTCCTGTACTGTCCGCAGTCTCTGGTCATCTCCTGTACCGTGTCCGCAGTCTCTGACCATCTCCTGTACCATGTCTGCAGTCTCTGACCATCTCCTGTACTATGTCCGCAGTCTCTGGTCATCTCCTGTACTGTCCGCAGTCTCTGGTCATCTCCTGTACTGTGTCCGCAGTCTCTGGTCATCTCCTGTACTGTGTCCGCAGTCTCTGGTCATCTCCTGTACTGTGTCCGCAGTCTCTGGTCATCTCCTGTACTATGTCTGCAGTCTCTGACCATCTCCTGTACTATGTCTGCAGTCTCTGACCGTCTCCTGTACTATGTCCTGCAGTCTCTGACCGTCCTGTAGTATGTCTGCAGTCTCTGACCGTCTCCTGTACTATGTCTGCAGTCTCTGACCATCTCCTGTACTATGTCCGCAGTCTCTGACCATCTCCTGTACTATGTCCCAGCAGTCTCATGACCGTCTCCTGTACTATGTCAGCAGTCTCTGGTCATCTCCTGTACTATGTCTGCAGTCTCTGACCATCTCCTGTACTATGTCTGCAGTCTCTGACCGTCTCCTGTACTGTGTCCGCAGTCTCTGACCATCTCCTGTACTGTGTCCGCAGTCTCTGACCGTCTCCTGTACTGTGTCTGCAGTCTCTGACCGTCTCCTGTACTATGTCTGCAGTCTCTGACCGTCTCCTGTACTATGTCTGCAGTCTCCGGTCATCTCCTGTACTGTGTCCGCAGTCTCTGGTCATCTCCTGTACTATGTCTGCAGTCTCTGACCATCTCCTGTACTATGTCTGCAGTCTCTGACCATCTAATGTACTATGTCTGCAGTCTCTGACCATCTCCTGTACTGTGTCTGCAGTCTCTGGTCATCTCCTGTACTGTGTCCGCAGTCTCTGGTCATCTCCTGTACTGTGTCCGCAGTCTCTGGTCATCTCCTGTACTGTGTCCGCAGTCTCTGACCATCTCCTGTACTATGTCCGCAGTCTCTGACCATCTCCTGTACTATGTCCGCAGTCTCTGACCATCTCCTGTACTATGTCCGCAGTCTCTGGTCATCTCCTGTACTATGTCCGCAGTCTCTGGTCATCTCCTGTACTATGTCGCAGTCTCTGGTCATCTCCTGTACTATGTCTGCAGTCTCTGGTCATCTCCTGTACTATGTCCGCAGTCCCTCTGACCATCTCCTGTACTATGTCCGCAGTCTCTGGTCATCTCCTGTACTATGTCTGCAGTCTCTGGTCATCTCCTGTACTATGTCTGCAGTCTCTGACCATCTCCTGTACTATGTCTGCAGTCTCTGACCATCTCCTGTACTATGTCTGCAGTCTCTGACCATCTCCTGTACTATGTCTGCAGTCTCTGACCATCTCCTGTACTATGTCTGCAGTCTCTGACCATCTCCTGTACTGTGTCCGCAGTCTCTGACCATCTCCTGTACTGTGTCTGCAGTCTCTGACCATCTCCTGTACTGTGTCCGCAGTCTCTGACCATCTCCTGTACTATGTCTGCAGTCTCTGGTCATCTCCTGTACTGTGTCTGCAGTCTCTGACCATCTCCTGTACTGTGTACGCAGTCTCTGATCATCTCCTGTACTGTGTCTGCAGTCTCTGATCATCTCCTGTACTATGTCTGCAGTCTCTGACCGTCTCCTGTACTGTGTCTGCAGTCTCTGATCATCTCCTGTACTATGTCTGCAGTCTCTGACCGTCTCCTGTACTATGTCCGCAGTCTCTTTTCATCTCCTGTACTATGTCTGCAGTCTCTGATCATCTCCTGTACTGTGTCTGCAGTCTCTGGTCTTCTCCTGTACTATGTCTGCAGTCTCTGGTCATCTCCTGTACTGTGTCCGCAGTCTCTGACCATCTCCTGTACTATGTCTGCAGTCTCTGACCATCTCCTGTAGTATGTCTGCAGTCTCTGACCATCTCCTGTAGTATGTCTGCAGTCTCTGACCATCTCCTGTAGTATGTCTGCAGTCTCTGACCATCTCCTGTAGTATGTCTGCAGTCTCTGACCATCTCCTGTAGTATGTCTGCAGTCTCTGTCCATCTCCTGTAGTATGTCTGCAGTCTCTGACCATCTCCTGTAGTATGTCTGCAGTCTCTGACCATCTTCTGTACTATGTCTGCAGTCTCTGACCATCTCCTGTAGTATGTCTGCAGTCTCTGACCATCTTCTGTACTATGTCTGCAGTCTCTGACCATCTCCTGTACTTTCTGCAGTCTCTGACCATCTCCTGTAGTATGTCTGCAGTCTCTGGTCATCTCCTGTAGTATGTCTGCAGTCTCTGACCATCTCCTGTAGTATGTCTGCAGTCTCTGACCATCTCCTGTAGTATGTCTGCAGTCTCTGACCATCTCCTGTAGTATGTCTGCAGTCTCTGACCATCTCCTGTAGTATGTCTGCAGTCTCTGACCATCTCCTGTAGTATGTCTGCAGTCTCTCTGACCATCTCCTGTAGTATGTCTGCAGTCTGTGACAACTTTCTAAATGCAATGACATTCCCTGAATATTATATGTAACCTTTTGGTGATTTCAGGGGCTGCAGTTGATGTTGCCCCCCCCCCCCCCCCCCCCACTGCTCTAAAGTCTTTAACCCTTCCAGTACCAATGACACGTCCCATACATATCTTGGCCTTAGAAGGGTGACAACAAGGTCCCAGTCACAGCAGCCATGAACACGTTTCCTTCCCAGCAGGCTCCTGGCTATATAGTAAAGGTGGTCCGGGCAGCTGCAGAGCCACCCAATCACATTTACAGGAGTCACAAGGTGCATATTGAAAAAGAAATTTCTCCACAACGCCTATAGCTACTGAGATGAGTGACGGCTTGTCTCAAGTACTGGTATTGCTCGTTGTTGCAGAGAGCCTTGTGATGCCTCTGCTTAACCCTCCTTACCCCCCCCCCCCCCCCTCTGGATAAAGCCAGAAGTGTCCCAAGCCGTCAAAGTTTATTTATACATTTTTTTTTCACACAAGATTCACAGCTTTGAGTAAAGATTCACACATTTTCTAACTGAATTCAATGAGAAAACACATGAAAGGAGAATATTGTGTGAAAGCATTAATCAAGAGAAAGGGAAATCATCCCCGGGGCGTGGTGACAACGGTGATATCCTGGATCTCAGAGAAGATCCGGCGTATGTGGATGGGAGGATTACAGGGCCATAACGGGATTATTGCAATGATACGGATCCGGTAATCCCAGATTACACCAGGCTGGATTCAGAGTCTCCATTCAGATGCTCATGTTGTGGAAATAAAGCGGTTCTGAATAACCCCTCCCCCTCCAGAGGATTTACTCCCCCCGTTCCTGACCAGGCCTGTTTTTGCAATACGGCGCCGCGTTACTTTAACTGACCGTTGCGCTGTCGTGCAACGCCGCCCCCAAATGATATTTACGTCCTTTTTTTTCCCACCAATAGAGATTTCTATTCTTTTTGATCCCCTGTGCGGTTTTTATTTATAAACAAAAAAAGACCGACAATTAAAAAAAAAAAAAACATACCAATATTTTTGCCTTTTTGCTATTAAACATGTCCAATTAAGAAAAAAAAAAAAAAAAATCAAATTTCATCATAAACTAATAAATTTTGGCCAAAAAAAATCCTGATCTGTGTAAATTAATTGGTTTACGTGAAAGTTACAGCGTCTACAAATGGAGGGATAGATACTGGGGGTTTTTTTTTTTTTTTACTAGTAATGGCGGCGATCAGCGACTTATAGCTGGACTGCGGAGGGCATTCTGACATGGGGGGGGGGGACTGACTAACTGCCACTGACATTTCAATGACAGTAATACAATGATCAATGCTAATAAAAAGTACTGACACTGTACTGTACACTGGGCAGGAAGGGGTTAACATCTGAGGCCATCAAAGGGTTAACTGTGTGCTGTGTGTGTTTTAATAGGGAAACTGTACCAGGAGCTTACACTCTAATTTCCCATCCCCCACAGTCACATCAGTCTCTGTACCAGAGGAGCTTACACTCTAATGTCCCCTCCCCCACAGTCCCCTCTGTACAGTCCCCCCTCAGTCTCTGTACCAGAGGAGCTTACACTCTAATGTCCCCTCCCCCACAGTCACATCAGTCTCTACACCAGAGGAGCTTACGCTCTAATGTCCCCTCCCCCACAGTCCCATCAGTCTCTGTACCAGAGGAGCTTACGCTCTAATGTCTCCTCCCCCACAGTCCCATCAGTCTCTGTACTAGAGGAGCTTACACTCTAATTTCCCATCCCTCACAGTCACATCAGTCTCTACACCAGAGGAGCTTACACTCTAATGTCCCCTCCCCCCACAGTCAATCAGTCTCTGTACCAGAGGAGCTTACGCTCTAATGTCCCCTCCCCCACAGTCACATCAGTCTCTGTACCAGAGGAGCTTACACTCTAATGTCCCCTCCCCCACAGTCACATCAATCTCTGTACAGAGGAGCTTACACTCTAATGTCCCCTCCCCCACAGTCCCATCAGTCTCTGTACAGAGGAGCTGACACTCTATTTCCTCTACACAGGTAGGACACAAGCAGTGAGGACATCCCGGCCTCCATACAATGTATCTATATTGGGAATGTCTCTTCTCCTGGCCCGCCCATTGATCCTCACATTCCGGCTGCGCAGACCTGCGACCATCTTTATTGACCAGTCCTTTTAGCGCCGGTTACCACGGCGACCCCCATTGTTGTGCGAAGAATGACAAGCCGCGGGCATATTTTTCATGTGAAATCACCTTTTCTGTGGCGGCTCGGTATCCAGGACACGGCTATAGAATCCCGAGTGCTCGCCGTCCGCCCTGAGCAAGGTCTATAGGCTCGGCCTGATGGCCGCCCCCCCCCCCCCCCCCCCGGGGGAACGGCGTTCACTAATGTACAAGCCGCGTCTGCCTGGACGAGCAGAGCCAATGGCGGTCACAGCGCATCAATCTCAGGGATTTACGGGGCCCTTCAGAAAAAGTGCGAAATGTGAGCCGCAGATAGATATGGCGAGGCACATTCCTGAGGAAACGCCTCCTCCTCCTCCTTCTACAAAGTTACAATGTACAGTCTGATCACTGGGGGAGGGGAGACTGAGGAAATGACTCCTCCTCCTTGTACAGTCTGATCACTGGGGGAGGAGACTGAGGAAATGACCCCTCCTCCTTCTACAAAGTTACAATGTACAGTCTGATCACTGGGGGGAGGGGAGACTGAGGAAATGACTCCTCCTCCTTGTACTGTACAGTCTGATCACTGGGGGAGGGGAGACTGAGGAAATGACCCCTCCTCCTTCTACAAAGTTACAATGTACAGTCTGATCACTGGGGGGAGGAGACTGAGGAAGTGCTCCTCCTCCTTCTACAAAGTTACAATGTACAGTCTGATCACTGGGGGAGGGGCGACTGAGGAAATGCTCCTCCTCCTTCTACAAAGTTACAATGTACAGTCTGATCACTGGGGAGGGGAGACTGAGAAACGCTCCTCCTCCTTCTACAAAGTTACAATGTACAGTCTGATCACTGTTGGAGGGGAGACTGAGGAAATGCCCCCTCCTCCTTCTACAAAGTTACAGTGTACAGTCTGATCACTGGGGAGGGGATACTAAGAAAATGACCCTCCTCCTCCTTCTACAAAGTTACAATGTACAGTCTGATCACTGGGGGAGGAGACTGAGGAAACGCCTCCTCCTCCTTCTACACAGTTACAATGTACAGTCTGAACACTGGGGGAGGGGAGACTGAGGAAACGCCTCCTCCTCCTTCTACAAAGTTACAATGTACAGTCTGATCACTGGGGTGACATTTCCGGGTTAATGACCAGTTCCCCTCCAGAATAATTAGGATTCCCCGGGGGGGGGACAATCATGACTGGTACATTTTAAAATCCCAGATTCCTCCTGCTGGTATTATGAGGAGGGGGTGGTGATGATTTCCTCATCGTTCTCCCTGCAGCCAGGAAGCAGCACAGCCACCCTGAATCATGTGCAAGGTCCTTATCTGTGTCCATCCAGCCCCTTATCTTCCTCCTGCTCTGTCGCCCCTCCAGCCATCTCTCTATAGATACAGAGCAGGGGCCCCCAGGGAGCAGACACCATGGGGCCCGCTCCAGCCTGCGTCCCTTTATCTGCTGTGAGGATGATCACTTCAAATAATGATCTATGACGAACGAAGAGGCCGTGAACAAAACGTGTGACAG